CAAGTTTTTATACTTAAAAGGAGACGCCGTCCCCGGTTATAGTTAATGTATGATCCTATGTATAATCTATGAAGCCTACGTATAATCTATGAAGACAAAAAATGATCGCGCAGACGAATCGCGCTTATATTAAAAAGCGTATGCGCAACTCTACAATCACCTGCGCATGCGCGAAGACATAGAGTAGCGCATATTTTTTTGTTTAGAATAGCTTCTCTAGTACTTAGTACATAATATAACTCAATGAAATTTCACAGTTTTGTCTTGCAAAGCATAAAATTCCGCGCAAATCGCACGGTAGTGGACCTTCAACCAACGATGGAATTTCGAGTTCTATTACAACGTTAAAAGTAACATATGAGTAAATGGTTTTTTAACGTGGTAGAGCCACGATGCCGCTATAAAATAGCAGCACGAATAGGTCGGCTCAACCGGAGCAGGACCATGCTCTTACATGGGGTAGTGTACCGGCGACCTCTTTTTACTGGAAACGAGGCATTGCATTTTAATCCTCAGGAGTGAAAAAACATCTGCATTATGATTCTTAGTCGAGGATAGATGAAGATGTCTATGGGCCACAGCATCCACTTACCATCAAGGACTATGTGCTCATTTGTAACCGTTATTATATAAGAAAAAAACAAATTTTACGAATTTTTTAAGAAGCATTTCGGACACTTTACAGCACCCATGGTCATGGTGGCGGATGGGGGGGGGGGGCAGTAGGGACGTCCTGATTTCATAGTTAACGAAGGCTGCCTACAACTTTGAATTATTAATTTATGGTCCGATCTACGCAGAACGGGCGGTCGATAACGATTAGGAGTGTGTTGTTGTTAATGTTAAAGTAGTTAAAATTATTATTTGACGTGATAAAGCCACGCTGAAACTATAATGTAGCTGACAGATTTCGTATAGTAACTGTAGAGAAACGGAGACCCTTTTTACTGGTTACAGGGCATTCCATCTTAATCCTCAGGTGCGAAAATGCATCATTATTTTGATTCTTAATTAAGGATAGATGTAGATATCTATAGGCCACAGGCTATCACTTATCATCAGGTGGACTGTGTGCTCGCTTGTCACCCTTATTATATTAAACAGTTTTATTGATCGTAAGTAACTAATAACTATCTAGTGAAAAGGGACCTTAATATCAAAACCTGTAAGATTTATTTTTTTAAAAGAGTTTATGTGTTCTTTAAAAAAATGCGTGAGTGTCATGGAACATTCGATTGGAACGAAGTTTCTTGCGTAGTATATTATTATTGATAAACGTAGGTATTATATTAATGATTATCAAATACATATAAATGAATTACTTTTTACTATTAGTCTATTAAAATGAAGCCTCATTTGAAATAAAATAATATTTTTTCATGGCAAGACAAGAAAAAGTGCGAGGGAGATGGATATTCCATGTTTACGCCCGAACGCTGATTTCGGGATTGACGTTAGAGGGCACGCAGCTCGGCGATACCGGTTTGAAGTTCAGCCGAGCGTGGCAAGTGGCGCGCGGGTCGCAAGCGCAGCAGTCGTCTTTAATCGGTGCTGACGTGAGCACGCGGTCCATTCTGTTAGGGAACTCGGAATAATTAGGTGCGGCCCGTAAATATACGGTCTAGGATTCCACGTGGCCACATTGAGGCCCGACCTACGTCTGTTCGGGAAGTCTTCAGCTCATGGGCCCCTGAGGATTGGATCCTTTAAGGGAGCAGCCGTAGGCCGTAACATTCCATCTCACTTCCTTATTTCGCCGCCAAGGCCGTCTACACTATGACAAAGGGGGTAGTGACGAAAAAATCTTAGACTTTTTGTGGCCTAGCACCCATCCGCCAAACCCGTACTGTCCGATAAGGAACTTGGTTCCAAAAAATATTAATATATACGAGTAAGTTTCGTCATTGTTTTATTCCTCTTCTACGAATATATAACATTATCTGTATAAACATCCATCACATTTTTTTTATAGGAGAGGGGCAAACGAGCATGCGGCTCACCTGATGGTAAGTGAACGCCCATGAACAACTGCATTAATGCGGCTGGGCTGGGCTGCGGCTAATCCGAACAATTCCTCAGAACACTCCCCATCGTATTTGCGAAAGAAAATGCAAAGGGATGCAACATCTCTTCGCAGTGCCAATGAATCGAGCCGATCGGAAAGGGCTCGGTCGTCGACGATTCGAGCCGCTCTGCGCTGGATGCGCTCAAGTGGAAAGAGCTGGCACTGGGGAGCCCCTGCCCAGAGATGAGAACAGTATTCCATGTGAGGCCGAACTTGCGCTTTGTAAAGTTGCAGGCGGTGTGCCAACATGAAATACTGTCCCGCTCTGCTGAGCACGCCAAGCTTCTTAGAGGCCAATTTGGCCTTCTCTTCCAAGTGACCACGAAACTGCACGTCACTCGATATATCGACTCCGAGGATTCCGATACTGACTGAGGCAAGAAGGGGAGTGCCTTGAAACAGAGGAGATACGAAAAAGGGGTTCTTTTTAGCGGTTAACGCGCAAACTTGTGTCTTCTGGGGATTGAACTGGACTAGATTTAGTAACCCCCAGTCCGGACTGTTCAGCAAAGACTCGACTTCAGACACAAGTTTGTTCCGGTATTCGGCGACGTTTTCCCGAGAAATATTGGCACGGCTGGTGTATAGAGCATCACCAGTGCTGTCATCCGCATAGCAATGAATGTTACCAGTTAGCAACATATCATTGATATGCAGAAGAAACAGCATAGGTGATATCACACAGCCTTGTGGAACACCAGCGTTAATAGGCTTGTAGTCAGAGCATGCACTGTCTACAACGACCTTGATGCTCCGATCTGCAAGGAAGCTGGTGATCCAATTGCACAATTTCTCGGAAAGCCCATAGGAAGGGAGCTTCGAAAGAAGCGCTTTGTGCCAAACCCGATCGAAGGCCTTCGCAATGTCCAAACTAACGGCCAATGCATCCCCCTTGGACTCTACTGCCACCGGCCTTCTATGAGTTAAGTAGACCAGAAGATCACCAGCTGATCGACCCCGACGAAAACCGTATTGGCGGTCACTAATCAGCAGGTGATCCTCAAAGTACCGGATGAGCTGGCAGTTAATAATGGATTCCATTATTTTGGAGAACAAGGAGGTGATCGCGATAGGCCTATAGTTGGACATGTCTGAGCGCTCACCTTTTTAGGGATCGGGTGGAAAAAAGCTATCTTCCATGAATTCGGGACTACGCCTTGGGAGTAGGAGTACCAGAAAAGACGCGTTAGGACCGGTGCCAACTCCGGAGCACACGTCCTCAGCACAATTGGGTGGATTCCGTCAGGCCCACTCGACTTCTGGATGTCCAGGGAGAGAAGTGCTTTGCGAACCGAGCGCTGTGAGAACAGCACTCACACCGCGGGATGGTCGGCGGTGTTTTCCACCCGTCATCAAGGGTCGAGTTGGACGCAAAAAGGGAGCCTAAAAGGTCGGCTTTATCTTTTGCGGCTTGGGCCAGTTAGTCGTCCTCCCTGTGCAGAGATGGTAGTGATGGCTTACAGAAATTCCCTTGGACAGCCTTGGCGAGAGACCAGAATGCACGGGAAGGCGAACTAGTTTCTCGCCAATTCTGCCTATGTGCTCTGACTTTGCCTTGGCAATAACTCTTTTGAAGGACCTGGAGGCGAAGTTATACTACTTTTTAAGTGTGCTGGTGTTTACATCCCGAGTCCCCGAAGCCGCAGCCAAGGCTTGATAACACTCCTGCTTACTGCGTAATACAGTCTTACAGGAGCGACCAAACCAAGGTTGAGATCTGCCTCCGATGTGTACCACAGATGATGGAATAAATAGTTCCATTCCCTGTAGCACCACATCAGTGACAGAGTCAGCAACAGCGCTGGGATCATCCAGCGAGAAGGAAACCCACCCCCATGGGTAGGATACAAAGAAAGACCGCATTCCGTCCCAATCCGCCGACCTGTAATGCCCAACACGGCGGCAACCTGCAGAATGCAACCGCGAAGGGAGCGTGAGTGGCACCATACTCCGGATCAGACAAAGCCGAGAGGGGCATCGACGGAAACCTGATATCCATCCGGATGAAAGGTCAGCAGAAGGTCCAACAGGGAAGGTGTATTATCCTCCACATCTGCACTCCGCGTAGGCGAAGTAACCAGTTGTGTCAGACCATATGCCAAGGCAAAGTCATAAACAGATCTCCCCGCATGATCGGTTAAACGTGAACCGAGCCATTCGGCATGGTGGCCGTTAAAATCGCCAAGGATCACGATCTCTGCGGATGGGACCTGTTGTAGCAAGGAATCTGTAGCCATTTGGACGTGGTCGATGAGTCGGTCTGTTTCGGCATTACCGCTATGGGACGCGTCGTCGCTGTCTACGCGTAGCCAAAGTATGAACAGGTCCGAACTTTCAAGACTGCCGAGGCGTTGAGAACAAATGTCCTCTCTGACATACACGCAAACTCCAGCCCGAGGCACAAAGGAGTGCTCCAATTTGTACCCCGGGTAGAAGAGATACGAAATATCAGCCGGAGAGGAAACCTGCGTCTCGGTCAGCAAGGCCGGCTTCGCCGTCTCGAGATGGTAGTGGACGGCGTTTAGGCTAGAGTGAAGTCCCCTGATGTTGCAGAAATTTACGGATAGCGTGGCAGGGGTCGCCTTGGTATTGTTGCTCAGTTTGTTCAGCTACCATGTAGATGGGGGGGGGGGGGGGGGGGAATTGGGCCTCCGGCCATCTGCACTCACCAGACGAAACGCAGAAGCAGAGCTACTTCACGCCGGTATTCTGTGAGGTCGTGGTACCAACCCGGCTCGAGCCGGCCCATACGTGCAACAGCTAAAACTGCTGCGTGGCTCTACCATCGTTAAAGGTTCAGAAATAAAACAAGAACTGTCTATAAAGTGAAAATATTGGTAAATTTAGTTGATACACTGAGATTATAACGCGTTTCATTATTTCTAAAGTGGATGCTTGTTTTAATAACCTAATTGTAAATTAAAAATATACTCACTCTCATCAAAGTGCACATGCTTCGACAGCTTATGCCATGTTCTGTAATAGAAATGGCTGACTTGGGTCTTCGTCTTCAGATTCGCATCCGGCATGCCCTTCTTCTTCATCTTAGCGCAGATGTATGCGGTGATCGCGTCGAAGTCCTTGCCATACTCGTTCAGAGCTTCGAAGAACAGACTTTTTTCATCAGCCGACCAAAGCGCTTTGGGCATACGCTGTTTGACCGTCGGGAATGCGGGAGTTTCCTTATCGAGATCTTTGTTTGGTGTTTCACACTCCGGTGTTTCTGGAAGAAATTAGTATTTATTTAAGTACAATTGTTTTACCAATGTTCGGTTAAGAATAAGTAAGAATATCCATTAACCCATATCATCCCTTAGGTGACGTAAAAGCCGACAAGGTAAAACAATCAAAGAAATGGTCAGCAGCGTCTTCCTAATAATATAATTTAAAATTTAAAATTTTGTTCAATCGATTTCAATATAAATTATTAAGAATAACTCAGAAACTATTGTTCAGACATTGTTCAAAGTTATATGGGACCGCATGACCAGCTTACAAATAAAAACGGAATCATTGAAATTTTTCACCTAGATAAAAGTAATGACACACTCACACACACACACACACACACACACACACACACACACACACACACACACACACACACGCACGCACGCACGCACGCACGCACGCACGCACGCACGCACGCACGCACGCACGCACGCACGCACGCACGTACGCACGAATGCACGCACGCACGCACGAACGCACGAATGCACGCACGAACACACGCACGCACGCACGAACGCACGAACGCACGCACGAACGCACGCACGCACGCACGCACGCACGCACACACGCACGCACACCTTTAAAAAAAAGGTTAAGCAAAAGCTCACCTCGCTTGTCAGCCGGTGGTTCCAGTCGAAGCTTCTTGATAACTCTGGCGCTGGTGCGCTGCTGTTGTTGCGTGGTCAGAGACCCGAGGAGTTCAGTGCGCTCGTCCTCCATTGCAGGTGGAACTGGAGCCGGAGCTCCCGGGGACATTACTATCTCCTTTGCAGTTGCCTGCAAACAATGCCTTATGTTTAGTTCTATTCTGTATGAGCCAAAAAGTTTGACAAATTTTATGTAAGGCACAATTTCTATAGATATAACAAGCCAATTACAGTACAGCCCACAAGTTGATTACACTGCTGATCACAGGCACCCCCTCAGGGAATGCCACAGAGCACGGTCCCGAGCCATCCGCATCCATCGACTTCCTGCATGTCTTACCAGGTTGTCACTCCATTTAGTGGGGGGCAACAGCTGTATTATGTATGAATTATGCCACACTGTTCCAGTGCTTGTTGGTGGATTTCTGATGTCGTCGAAGTATTTTATTTCTCAAGATTGTTGGTTTCCTCAAGGGGTTTTCCTTCACCATCGAGCAGGTTGTAAATCATAGCATTGCAGGTTCATTCATTATTTCATTACAGCCTATTAAAGTCCATTGTTGAACAAACCACGTGAATTATAACATAAGGGGGATATTTTGCCATGGCTGCTACACTTGCTAGGCGGTTTGATGCCTGTAGTTAAATAGGATAGATGGCAGAAGGATTCAGTCCAAACCATACCACCACCGCTAATTTTTTGATTAATTGAGTGGGCACTTAATAAATAAAAAATTGTTTATATTTTTTTTTATAGGATAAGGGTGACAAACGAGCACACAGTCCACCTGATGGTAAGTGGTTGCTGTGGCCCATAGACATCTACATCTATTTTCGATTACGAATCAAAATGCAGATGCGTTGTCAACCGTGAGGACTAAGTTGGAATGCCTCGTTTCCAGTAAAATGGGTCTTCGGTTCCCTACTCTCACCATACGAAACAAAGCAGCGTTAAGCTGCTATTTTACGCTGGTTTTCTGTGAGAGCGTGGTCCTTCCCCGGTCGAGCCTACCAATTCGTGCTACAACCATAATATAACAGCAGCATGGCTCTACCACATCTAAAACGTATATGCCGATCATGCCTAAAACGACCGACACGGGTTGAGCCAGGGTCCGTAAACCCCTGTTCGGTCAGATAACTACTCTGTACACAGATTCGAGAGTAAGAACACTGTTCCGCAGCTCTCTAGCTCAGTCACGAGTCACTCATTAAATCATCATCATCAGTTCTCTCTCTCTCTCTCTCTGTCTCTGTCTGTCTCTCTCTCTCTCTCTCTCTCTCTCTCTCTCTATATATATATATATATATATATATATATATATATATATATATATATATATATATATAGCTACGGCTATATATATAGCTAGCTAGCTAGCTTGGACCCTAAGTCCGATGAAGCTGTAAAACCAAATGCACATTCCACCGTTTTTCTCGGTCGCGATAAGCGCTAACTGGAGGCCATGGTTGTCAATGAGGCCAGGTTTACCTGTTTCTTTATGTAGGTTAACCCTGCACAGATCGGTACCGACTATCACAGATTTGTCTGTACCGGAAACCTGTTTCTTTATGTAAACACCCTATGTCCAAATAATGAAATACATCAAACATAAATCTCAACAAAAAGTGGCAGAGAAGCAATTCATCATCGTTGAATGCTCAAATTTTAATGTGTGTAACTCAGAAGAAGTTTTTGTGGGTTGTGTAACTACGTCTAATTTTATGCACAAAACCTTCGTAATTTTTTTTACATATAGTTTTTCTAGTAGTTGCCGTGTAGTGGCGGTTAAGAATATCCACTACCCCATATCTTCCAGTGGGTGTCGTAAAAGGCGACAAAGGGAAACGGACAGGAGATGGGCAGCAGCATCTTCCTGATAACAACAAACATACAACAGAGCCAAACGTAAGTGTGAGTAACGATCCAAGAGCGAGTCTTATCTGACACTATTCCGAAGATATCCCGGACGTCAGTCTGAGCGAGATTAGAATGGCTCTCCAGCACCTTAAAAACGGCAAGGCCCCAGGCGAGGATGGAATTACAGCGGAGCTTCTGAAAGCGGGTGGAAGACCGGTACTTGAAGTCCTTCAGAAGCTCTTTAATTCCGTCCTTCATGGTGGTATTACACCGGAGGCGTGGAGCAGAAGTGCATTGGTCTTGTTCTTCAAGAAAGGTGACAACGCTCTCTTGAAGAACTACAGACCGATTTCCCTTCTGAGCCGCGTCTACGTGCTGTTTTCGAGAGTCGTTACGAATCGTCTCGCGCGCAGACTTGACGACTTCCAGCCTCCAGAACAAGCCGGTTTCCGAAAGGGCTTTAGCACCATAGACCACATACATATCCTTCGGCAAATTGTACAGAAGTCCGAAGAGTACAATTTGCCACTATGTCTGGCGTATGTGGACTATGAGAAAGCCTCTGATTCCGTCAAAATTTAGGCGGTGCTGCAGTCCCTTCAGCGGTGCCAAGTTGACTGTCGGTATATAGAAGTGCTGAAGTGTTTGTGCAGTAGAGCTACGATGGCTATCCGAGTACAGAACCAGAGTACGAAAGCTATCCAATTGCAAAGAGGTGTAAGACAGGGTGATGTTATATCCCCGAAACTCTTCACCGCTGCATTGGAAGACGTTTTCAAGCTTCTGGACTGGAAATGATACGGTATTAACATCAATGGCGAGTACATCACTCACCTTCGATTTGCCGACGATATAGTCCTTATGGCAGAATCGCTGGAGGACCTAAGCACTATGCTCAATGACCTCAATAGTGTCTCCCAACGAATAGGTCTTAGGATGCACATGGATAAAACAAAGATCATGTTTAATGTCCATGTCACACCTATGCCGGTAGTTGTTGGGAGCACTAAGCTCGAAGTTGTTGACGAGTATGTTTACCTGGGACAAATAGTCCAACTAGGTAAGTCCAACTTCGACCGAGAGGTCAATCGACGGATTCAACTCGGCTGGGCAGCGTTCGGGAAACTACGACACATCTTCTCGTCAGACATACCTCAAAACTACAACCAGTGCGTGTTGCCAGTGATGACTTACGGATCTGAGACGTGGTTTTTCACTGCTGGCCGTATGAGGAAGCTCAAGGTCGCTCAGCGAGCTATGGAGAGGGCTATGCTCCAGGTTTCTCTGCGTGATAAACTTAGAAATGAGTATATCCGCAGTAGAACCAGAGTAACCGACATAGCCCAACGGATTAGTAAGCTGAAGTGGCAGTGGGCCGGCCATATAGCTCGAAGAACCGACAACTGACGGGGAAGAAAGGTTCTTGAGTGGCAGTCTCGTACCGGTAGGCGAAGTGTAGGGCGACCCCCCACGAGATGGAGTGACGACCTGGTAAGACGATGGGTGCAGGTGGCCCAAGACCGTGCTTTGTGGCATTCCTTGGGGGAGGCCTATGTTCAGCAGTGGATTTATGAAAGGCTGTAATGATGATGATGATGATGATGATAGTTTTTTTATTCGACCAAAATGTTTGGGATAAAATAAAGTGTATAAATAATTTAAATAACTCTCAAACTCAAAAACGATTAGTCAAACCTTCATCAAATTTATGTGGGACTACATGAGACAAAAAAGACTCACGAAACAAAAAAAGAGGTGGAACCTGTATTATGGTTAAAAAAGGTATAGCATTCAAACAAATAACCATTTTTGACGAGGCGTCAGCCAACTTTCATTTTGAATGCTGTTCAATAAAAATACCTAATCACAACATAATTATTGTCTGTGTATACCGTTCTTCATCTGCTACAAAACAAAGGCATTTTGAATGCTTTTTCGATAAACTGGAGCTTGTGCTTAGTAAATATTTGCTTAAGCATTCGAAGCAAAAAATTGTGATTGTGGGAGATATCAACATAAATACTTTAATAAAAAATAATGTAACCAACAACTTACTAGATATTCTCCAAAATTACAATCTCACTCAGCATATTACGGAACCCACTAGAGACCTATCATGTATTGATCATATATTTAGTAATGTTAAAGATGCAACTGGATTTACCCTCCCTCTCTGTTTATCGGACCATGATACTGCGCAAATTCTTGGTTTTAGTATTAAATCAAAGGTTACTCCCCCAAAAACCTTACACACCTATAGGAGGGACTATTCATCTGAAAATATAGAGAAGTTTAAAAGATATATGGTGAGCCTTTCCTTTTCCGATGTTTACAGCGAAACAGAACCTAACGCTGCGTTTAATAAATTTCATGATTAGCTATGCCTTCTTTACAAACTCTGCTTCCCTTATAAAAAAAGTTAAACTGTCTACAAAGTCCCATTTAAAATGGATATCTAAGGGAATGAGGAATAGCTGCGCGAAAAATAGAGTCCTAAGAAAAAATTACTATCGGAGAAAAACTCCTCAAAACAAACACAAATATAAAACATACTCAAAACTACTTAAAAAATGCATACTATTTTCTAAAAAAACAACTAATAATAAATATGTGTTAAACAGCAAAAATACCTGCAAAGCTACTTGGAAGGTCATACAGGATGAAATAGATACCAAGCCGCAATATAATAATCACATTGATTTTATTGAATACGACAACGAAGTTATTAATTTTCCTACACAAATCGCAAATACTTTTAACAATTTCTTCATTGAATTGACAAACAAAAATATCCAAGATAATATATCAAATAATAAATCCCATCAAATCCTAAATAATTCTATTTATCTAAGCCCTACTGACGAATATAATATAAATAAAGTAATTATGACCTTGAATAATAGTAACTCAGAAGGGTATGACGGCATTTGTACCAAAGTAATTAAGGCCTGCAATAAAGAAATAGGCAGGGTCTTGGCATTTTTAATAAACTTATCAATGGTCTCTGGTATCTTCCCTGATAAACTTAAATTCTCTTTGATTAAGCCATTGTTCAAAAAGGACAAAAAATCAATTTTGGACAATTACCGTCCTATTGCGCACGTACCGATTTTGTCAAAAGTATATGAAAAAATTATGCATACTAAACTCACATCTTTCTTTGACAAGTATCATGTCCTGAATCACAGTCAGTATGGGTTCCAGAGGGGTAAATCTACTGCACATGCTGTTTTCGATATGGTAAAGGAGAGTCTAACATGTCTAAATGATAATAA